GTGTGTATATATATACCCCCTGGCTGTGTGTGTGTGTGTGTATATATACCCCCTGGCTGTGTGTGTGTGTGTGTATATATACCCCCTGGCTGTGTGTGTGTGTGTGTGTGTATATACCCCCTGGCTGTGTGTGTGTGTTGCCCCTGCCCAGCACAGAGCTGCAGTACAGCCCCTGTCTACTGAAAAGCAGCAGCATGGGGGTATGAAGTGCCTCTCTGGCAGGACCCTGGGGAGGGGGGGGGTAAGGAGACAGAGCGGAGCCGGGGCCAGTAAGGTGAGCGTACGCGCCGCCCTGAAGAGGAAGTCTCGCCGGGACACCCTAAACCACATTCCACACAGGGAGTGGGTGGGCTGGAATTCAACCCCCAACCTAAACAGAATCAGTGCTCCCTATCAATTCGGGGGAGGGGGGGGGGCTCACCATGACCGAGGAGGCATTCCTCAGATCTCACACCACCAAGCCCTGTGTGACAGAAACAGGGGAAGCAGAGACGAGCCTGAGAGCTGCTTGTGTGCTCATGGACGCCAGCACCGTGATCCCAAAATGGCCGCACGTGCCGGCTCGTCCCCCTTAATATGGGGGGGGGGGGGGGGGGGGGGGGGGGCAAATGTCCCTGCTTATCCATCATGGGGGGAGTGCATGCCATCCCCCACTCTTCGCCATGGAAATCCTGGATCTGACTGTTTGGTGCACGTGTCTCTGGCTTTCAATGAGGTCACATACAAGGCAGTGGAGCATGATGGGAAATGGCGTGCAGCAGCAGGCCATGGGGAGGCTGCTCCCCCCACCCCAACCATCGCTGTTATGACCCTACATGAGGCAAACGTGGACCCGCACAGCTGCACATGTCCATAAATCACGGCTGGTTACTAAAGCTGCCGACCGGATAGCATGGCCTTCCGTGGATTACCTCCGGATACCGCGCCCGCTTACGTAAACGCCACGGCCAAAAAAGATGGACAATTCTCACCCATTCATCGATACAAACAGTTACAGTTTAGCCATACTGATACAGGCATCAGTCCCATATCAACAGACGAAGGTCTTCTAATAAATCACAAAGACCCCCCTACCTCAGGAAAGCAGGGGTGTTCACCGCCCCCCCCCCCCCCCCCCCTTCCAAAATGATCACTATTGAAAGCATGTGGTGCAGACATTTCCGAGAACGGAGACCCTGGCTATGTCCTGATGCTATCTGTGTCCCATGCGAAAGTCTGCCCTTTGCCACAGCAAGCACACTGCCTTTCATTTAGACAATGGAGGATCTAAAAAAAACCCCATACATGTTTTTCCAGTTATGTGTATAAAATCAGCAATGTCAGTGCGCAAAGCCCTGAGCTTATCCACGGTGAGGCTGTGAGAATAACGGAAGCAGACATGATGTGCGCGTCTCATTTAAATCTCAGAGACAAAAAGAGTGAATGAGGAATGAATTAATGAATGAATGTATGAATGAATTCTTAATGAGAGCTGCAGTTTTTGCCCCCGTTGATGAAGACGACGGGGGAAAAAAGGTGGTGGAAAACGAAAAGTTATTAATGAGTTCATTCTGAAAATGGATGAGATTTTGAAAAATCCAAAACAAGGAATGTTCCCACAATCCTACAGCTGATCTGAGATCAAATTAAGATGATAGCAGATGACCACTGAAAACAATGTTATGTGTTTAAGCGTGGTGTCTTTATATATTGCAGCATATCATTCAGGGTCAGAACATGTGAGCCCGTGATCCAATCCTGCACTGACTTGTATCCCATTCGCAGGCTCACATGGAGTCCCGCCCCTTTAAAAATCACATGACCGCACCCCACCAGTGAGAAGGGAGCATGCAGGTGAGGCTCCAGCCCCAGCCCAGCTTACCGCATTGTCTCTGAGCCTCTCCCCCTGGATGAGGAAGTCGGTGCGGCTGCCGTCTCCATCCTGCCGCCTCACTCTCCTGACGGTGACACAGCTGAGACCCCCACCCGTCATGGGAAGCCACCCTCCGCTGGAGTCGTCCCGAGTCATGACCACGGCTCTCACACGTGCAAAATAGTCACTGTCACTGGGGGCAAAGGGGAGGGGGAGGGGGGTTAGTGCATGACCACCGATCTCATGCGTGCAAAACTGGATGAGCTCAAAGTCAGGAAAGGAGAGAAATTAAGAAATAATCACAGATCACCGCCATTAGAGAAACAGATATGCAATTAACATGAAGACAGACAGTAATGTCTCTGTAAGCAGCAGCCTCAGTTAGGGTGGCACCTTTATCGGTTTCAAATCGAAATCGCGATTTGAAATCAAAAACTGCTATTTAGGACATACATTATACAGCACGTCGGACCCAGGATTTAAAACTGCTGTGAGAATAGTTTTACACAAATTCATGCCGTGCTCCCTGTGTGACCATTCTCACCAATCACAAGCGCCGTGCTTCTCGCGTGCCAGTTATGCTCACCAATCAGAAGTGGCCCAAGAAGGAGTATAGGCCCACAAGCAGCAAACATGTGAAACCCAAGGAAAATGTTACATTCGCGGTGCGGAAAAATACTGATTCCGCTACTGAGGTATAAGTGAATTTCCTTTCTATTTCATGCTCCGAGATTGTTTCAGAAAGGTCCTATAATCAATAGAACCGGCGAGCTCCTTTTAAACACCAGCTGCAATATACTTCAGCGTATCATACCTTTGGTTATTGTTAATAGGCAATAGCATTAGCATACCGCTAACCCATCAAAACAATGAGACAGTCAGTAATTCTCACAGCAGCGGAGTCGGTGACCTCCAAAAAAGCCGTAAAACCCACAATACAGTCGTGTTTATGTCATATGTTTTTGTGTTTATTAAATATAAGTGTCCAAAGATTAATCCCACAACAGTAATAGAATAAAAGTCTTGCTTTAACATAAATTCTAAAAGAATAGATCGCTTTAATCGTTATTACAGTTGGGTATGGGCACGCGGTCTTATTTAAAAACATACAAAAAGAGACGCACATAATGTTTAATCATCCGTTTTGTATTTGTCCGAGTAACAAAGCAAAGGAATGATAAGCTGCTTCAGTCGAAAGTTGCATTTTACTTCTCATTTAAAATAAAATGCAGGGTTGGCAACTTTGGTCAGCTACATGGAGTGAGACTTTCTGGTCTCTGTTCTGCACACACATTTACATGTATGTAA